GCCACGGCGCTGGATGGCTCCTCGCAGTCCGCAGGCTCTTTATTCCGAACCGGGCACTTAGGTGTAGAACAAGAGGGCCCAGAGCTGACAGATCTCTCCCACACGACAGTGGGACTTTGGTAACTAACTTTCTGTGGCAATTACATTTTCTTTTCTTCAAAGTAGTGGTTCTGAACCGGTCCTGGACTGGTCTTAGTTCTGTTTTGCGTCATTTGGTTTTCCACAAGACAAGTCAGAGTGCTAGTTACCATAGCAACACACTGTGTTTTAGCATTAGCATTTAACCAGAGCCGTCATTTTGACTGCTCCCATTCAAACCAATGGAATTCTAATAAAATCCCACCACTTCTATTAAAATTAAATAATTGATGACTGGTGAATACAACTCAAAACACAAGTAATTTTGTTTGTTGAATGGGCAATGCTAAAAGTGTGTCGGCATGGTAACTAGCACTTGCTCCTTTCTGGGGGAAAATGAGGATTTCATAAAAAACAATGACAGAAATAAACTTCATATCAATGAAGAAAAAGTCACAGATGTAGGAAGATCAAAAAGTTACACACGTTGAGTAGTGAAGTTACAAACTAAAAGCAGTCAAATTAACTGTTCCGAGTGTTCTAGTGTTAACTTATCTGGTGAAAAACTAAACTTTTATAGGTACATTTTTTATTCTCAGATGGTTTGAAGGGGAGCAGTCAAAATGGCGGCTCTGGCAGTTGCAGTGTGAGTGTGATGACTTCAGGCAGGTCCACACTCGTCACAGCAGCACAACACTTTAACGACCGAGAATCAAAGGGTTCGACGCCAAAAGCCGCAAAATGCAAATCACAAACGAGACGAGAGGGAAACTCCGGAAGATGAAAGAAGACCACAGACTTCTGCAGATCCACTGGTCCTCATCTATCACAGACCTGCAGAGGGTTTTAGCTCCATCCACGCTCACACTACCAGAGCTTACCCCCAACCCTTCTGTGTGAATGCTCTTTTGATCTCAGAGATATGTACGCAAAGACAAACGTGCAAACACACACTCACAGACACACACATACATGAAAATATACACACACATACACAAACACACGTGCATGCAAACAGACACACACACACTCATACACAGACAGACGCACACCTTGGTCTCCAAGATGTTTGTTCGTTCAATGGCGTGTGCTCATTGGCTCATGCTCGTACCATGAACACCCCAAACATTAGCAGAAGTTTCTGGCCAGATTTGGTTCTCCCATTCTTACCAGAGAGAGACCAGAGAGAGACCAGAGAGAGACCAGAGAGAGACCAGAGAGAGACCAGAGAGAGACCAGAGAGAAACCAGAGAGAGACCAGAGAGAGACCAGAGAGAGACCAGAGAGAGATAGAGACCAAAGAGACGTGAGAGAAAGACCAGAGAGGGACCGAGCAGAGAGACAGAGACATCAACACACATTCACACACCCATATGTAATGACCCACTTCCTCTGACCCATATACACACACACATACACACACACATACACACACACGCACACACACACACACAAACACCCACTCTATAGATTTTCTGAGTTAATGCGCTGCACTTTGGAAAAGGACATTTTACAATCAGTAAAGCAGTTTCCTTATGATTCTTCTGTATCTTTAAAGATAATGCTTGAAAACTGGAGAGTCCGGCTCGTTCCTGACCTTTCCTGTCGGCGTAATGATGACTACATGTTGGAACGCTTTGCCGTGCACCCTTCAGGCCTTAGTACCAGGTTGATTATTGCCTCTTGGGGAGCGTCTGCCCGTGCAGAGCTGTGACCTGGTCAAAAGAACCAACGCGCTGATGACGCAGGCTCAACACAGCCTCAGATCCTCTTCAGACTCAGATCAGACAACAGACTGTATACAGATGGACAATGCTAACCCGCTAGCTCATTAAACCCTGATAGGAAAGTGCTCGTAGTGAAGTTTTGCTCCAACTGTAAAAGTAAACTCCTTTAGCTCAGTAACCCTTTGTCACACTCATCTTTTTTTGCTTAAATTTAAGATAAGATAAAATGTATTGCTCTCACAATGAAGAAATGGATTAATTTATTTGTGATTGTGGTTTCCAGCCTAACTCTACTGTATTCTAAAAAACCAAGTTATATTTCCATTTTGCTTTAGTATCTGGCACTGGTCCTGGCAAAAGGGCCAAGAGGGACTAAAGAGGGACCAGGTACTGCTTAAACAGGACCATGGGTAAGACTCCCAATCAGAGCAGAGTCAGGCTGGTGGAAAAGGGGCTTTATGATCCTGGTGTTTATACTGTTATATCGTCTTCGTAAATCCAAATATGAGCCATAAAAGGATTGACCAATCAGAACTCCAGCTTGTCTTAGCATCTGTCCACACGATGGTGATGTCACAAGGTCCTGATCAGGAGCTTTGGTCATGAAGAGCAGAGACCAGCAGAGGCTTCACCGCAGCCGGTCATTTGCGTCATGTTCAGAAAGTGAAGTAGAGTTTGTTTTAATGACACGTCTGTCCCTTCAGCAGTGACATTCAGACACACACAGACACACACTCAACAAGAAGCTCCACCACAATGTGACAATAAAACAATCTAATAATACAACAATGTGACAATTCAACAAGGTTCACGACCAAAACATGAAGGTTTTATCAGGCCCCGACCGGGCGTACGGCCTTTTGTTGGCCCCATGTGTAATGACTCAAGCAAGTTGTCCTTGTATATTTATGTTTGACAATGTTATTGCTTCATGTGATCTCTCTCTCTGGTCTCTCTCTGTTTTTCTCTGATCTCCCTCTCTCTGGTCTCTCTCTCTGGTCTCTCTCTGGTCTCTCTCTGGTCTCTCTCTGGTCTCTCTCTGGTCTCTCTCTGGTCTCTCTCTGGTCTCTCTCTGGTCTCTCTCTGGTCTCTCTCTGGTCTCTCTCTGGTCTCTCAATGTGGTGTCTCTCTCTGTTTTGCTCTGATCTCCCTCTCTCTGGTCTCTCTCACAGTAACTTTAGAAAATTTAATTTGGAAGTTTGTTTTATTTTTTGACAAGTTCCCAGAATAGCAGACGCGGGTCCAAACAACATGCCAACGTTTCCCATTAACCAAAAGCACAGGTCTGCAGAGAGTAAACGCCTTTCTCCGCCCTGAAGTTGTGCCATGAGAAAACCATTATTATCCCCAAACCTGCTCCTTGAGTGAGTCTTGGAGATACAATCAGATCCAAGATGGCCGCCAGGACAGAGATGTGTTTGTGCTCCCAGAGTGCACTGGGGCGGATCAGGTTGTGTCTAATGACTTTGACCTGAGTGCTCCTCTCTCTCATTGGTCTCTCTTTCTGATTTCGCTCTCTATGGTATCTCTCTCTATATGGTCTCTCTCTCTATGGTCTTGCTCTCTATGGTCTCTCTCTATGGTATCTAGTGTCCGTGCTCCAGTGAGTGTCCTCTTCGAGAGACTGGAACCCACTGAACTAAATCAAATCGAAAAACAAGTCTAATTGTTCAATTAGTGTTTATTAAACAGTAAAAACAGTTCTTTTCTTTATCAAAATTGTAAAAATATTAGAGTAAATAAATATACAGTTATTCTGCTGTGTGCAATAGTCGTGAAGTCAGACTGTTTTAATATAAAACATGATAAACATACAGGAAGTGCAGGATATAAAAACACAGTGGAACTCTCCTCATCAGATGTTAAAGCTGAGGTACCTGACTTTCCGTTCCATCAACAACAGAAAGAGTGAAAGGTTGTGATCCAATTAGACCACAACATGATACTTTTTATCTTGTGTAAGAAAGAGCCTCGTGAGTCACTATTTGACTCTTAAGAGCTGATTGGCTGAGTGAGGGTGGTCCTGTCTTTGTCACTTTTCTGTCTTAAAATAGATTGTTGTGGTGGAAAGTTACGTACCCCAGCTTTAACACATTCTCATCTCTGTACAGACAGGGTAATGTTGACACCAGTGTCTGTTTGGTAGTACAACGCAAACATTTTGGATGGATTTTTACGAATTGTTCAGTAAAGCTCAGAAACAGACGAACAAAAAAAAATAATACCAGAAACACATCTGTGAAACTGTGTCTCTTAGTGGAGATCTGTGCTCTACGAGTGTATATTTAGTATATTTAAATTATTGATCTAAAACATTGCGAAGCTTAGAGGAGGCGAATAACGTACGATTCCAAAGCTCAAGTGACACCGTATTTCTCTCTTTTAGTCCAATTTCATTATTTAGAACAAGAGTCCTATAAACCCCAGCTGTGAAACAGCTGAGACAGGGCCAGCCGAGAGCCGATGCATTTAAGAGCGCAGAGGAAAGCTGATAAAGCGTATATTAGATTAGAAGATTACTTTAAATGGATGTATTCTGCAGTCTTCCCGGAGCTCTCAGTCCTGCTCCTGCCCCTCAGTGCGGTCCTTTGACAGCTGCAGCAGCGCTCAGATCTAAAACCAACAGATTTGATATCTCTGCGATCGCAGCATTTGTGAGTTAAGGTGGTTAGAAAAGTGTATAAAGTGTGTGTGAGGGGTCTTACAGCCTTAAAACACAGCATTAGAACACATCACTCATGATGTAGTTTGCCTCCAGCTCGCTCTTGCTCCTATTGACTTACGTTGAAGTAAACTGCTATAGCTCAGTAACCGTTTGTGTCGCACTCATCATTTTGGGATTAAATCTGTGGTTTTTCTCTCTGTGATTCTGGTTTTTATATTGTGAATTTGTCTTCGTAAATCCAGAGAAGAGAGAGGATGCCTTTTGTCAGTGAATTCGGCTTTAGCAGTGAATAGCTCAAGAGGGCACAGCCCAGCGCCGCTCCTGATTGACTGTTGGTAACTCGCTTGTTGCTACGCACAAATCTGTATTCAGTAGGCTCCACATTCCCGCTCATATAGCTTGTTTGATTAGCTCTAATCAGCGTGTTCCGCATTAGGGCCAAGACTACAGTCCACGACACAACATGGCATAGTATTCCATGACCATAATTTCAGGGGCCACAAACAATGCAGGCCTGAGTTCCACGCAGTCTAGACGTCGCTGTCCAAAGGCGGAGGGAAATCCAGACCGGGAGAGAGTGAATCCTGGCTGTGCGTGGAGCTGATCCCGGTGTCCGAGTCCGTGTCGGTCAGCTCACACAGACGCAGCTCTCCTTTGCCTTTCACCGCCTCCAGAAAAAAGGCTTTTTCCTCCCCACGGTCTGCGATCTGGAGCTGATTCAGCTGCGACGCCAGCTGCCAACACTCATCATCCTTCAACACTAGCGTCGACTCGAGCTTTTGGAGCTGCGAGTCCATTTGGCTGACCTGATTCTGCAAAGAGACTCCGGCAAATAGGCTCCGGCTGATCTCTGACTGAAGCCGTTCCAGTTCTGCTGCGTGCACTCCTTCGTCCTCCGCGGCCTCCTGCTGGTTTTCCTTCCTCAGTTCTTTGTCGATCTCTCGGGACAGCTCCAGTATTAGCAGCTGATGCATCTGGACTTGCGTTTCGAGCTGTTCGATGCCGTCGCTTGTGTACACTAGTCGGTTGACCTGCTCGTCCACATCAGAAGTCCAGCCTTCAAACCCGTCCTGAAGATGCGTCATTCGCTCAAGCTCCGAGTCTAAATCTTGCATGCGCTGGATCTGCTCTCGAATGGCGTGATCCTGCTGGAGAATGAGCTGCACCATCTTGTCCACATCCTCAGAGCTGCTTTTGTTCTCCTTGTGCAGCTTCTCCAGCTTCCTGAAGGCTTTCCGAACGACCCGTTTCTGCTTCTCCGCCGGTAGAGACTGCGGTGCACGGGTCTGCTCGTGCCGTTTGGGCCTGGCTCCCTTCGGCTTCGCACATTTCTTCACCGGCGCCGCAACAAAGTCTGACGTTTTAACCAGGACGAAGCGCACAAAAGGCCTCTGCTCTCCCCAGGCCAGCCACAGGCGCAGGATGTGGGTGAGTGGAGGGATGGCTCTCTCGAAGCCCTTCCAGCGCTCCACCAGGCAGAAGTCTTTGGGGTCTCCATGGAGCTGGCGTTTGGCCTCAGGGATGGACTTGTGGTCATCCAGAAGGGCCTGGATCATGTCCAGACACGTGGTCCGCTTGGTGACGCCGCAGACAGACTTCTCGTCTCCACAAACAGTGACCTGGATTTCCTTACCCTCCGTCGGTTCTGCCTCTTTAGACCTGAGCAACAGAGAGGAGAGAGAGGGTTAGTTAGGGTTCATCCATAAGGTCTGATGGAAATGTTTATAAATGTGTATAGCATTACTATTAAGCATGAGAGAGAGACTAGAGAGCAGAGAGAGGGCAGAACCCAACTGCTGGGTCATATCTATGGGTTATTTCTGCATGTGAAAGCCAGATCCCGTTAGACCTAACTGTTGTTCTATCCTTAGGCAAGACACTTCACCCAAAATGACTAGAATATATCTGGTGTGTGGGAGAATGGTTGCCTCGCTTCTATTAAAGTGCCCCAGGGTAACTGTGGCTGCAGTAGTAGTTTATCCCCACCGTGTTTGGAGTGAATGAATAATGACATGTGAAGCATCGTTGAGTGTCCAAAAAGTGCTACTGTATATAAAAACCAATGCATTATTATTATTTCCACAGAAATACGTAACTTCTTTAATCAAAGTGCTGGGTTAACAGTTTGGGTCATTACATTTTCCCATCTTTCTCCTGACAATATTATTTGATGTAAGACTAAACCATGAGAGACCAGACTAGGGGGAGACAAAAGAGCAGAGAGAGAGCGACAGGAGAGAAACAAGAGAAAAAAAAATAAAAAAACAATTTCTGCTGTGAATGCAACAAAATGCAGCTTTACAGCGTTTTAGACAAGAGCCTGCTCGTGTCCAGTCACAAAACACCACTGCGTATCTACATCCATCTCTCTGTAATCTCCACGACCTCCTGAACTCAGTCGAAGCCTTTTTCCGTCTCATTACCGCCATCGCGAGGAGATAATGTCTTTCTGATGACATTTCTCTTCTGTTGAACTCCTGCGCGGCCATTAAAACTCGAGGCCTGGAGTCTGGGGAACAAACGTTGCTAACGTTAATCACCTGGCTGTCTAGGGAGCTAACGTCGCTAATGCTAATCGCCCCTCAGTCGTTCAAAGCAGGTGCATAATCGGATCTGTGCGTAATTGACATTTAACTTAATATGATTGGAGTCCATGCGTCAGTCCGGTTTATGTGAAGAAGAAAGTTAAATTTATATATCGTATGAGTCCTTCCCTTTAACATGATCAAAACCAAATATCACATTTTTACTGTCAAACATTTAGATTCATACTGAGTTCAAACTGACACTGATCTCTCTCTCTCTCTGGTCTCTCTCTCTGATCTCTCTCTCTCTCTGGTCTCTCTCTCTGATCTCTCTCTCTCTCTGGTCTCTCTTAGGTCTATTTCAGGTCTCTCTCTCTCTGGTCTGTCCCTTTTTGGTTTCTTTCTGGTTGCTTTTTTGTCTGAAAAAGATGTGAAATGTGAACATGTGAAACTAGTGATAGAAAAAACTGTTTTAAAGATAGAAAATAGAGACATGGGCTTTAGTACAGAGTTCTATTGTTGTGGTCTGAAAGTTACGTATATTGTGCTCTGAGCGCAAAGTAAATAAATCCCCAAAACACAGTGAGCAAGTGAAGATATTTCTTTTTCTAAAGCAGATTCTGGAGCAGTTTGTCACAAAGTGTCACTTAATCCGTGTGTAACCAGGAGCAGCTCGTTTTCTAAAGCCGCTGTGAAACTCGAGCAGCTTCACCCACAAAACACCAACAACACACACTCCGGTCTCTCTCTCTGGTCTCTCTCTGGTCTCTCTCTGGTCTCTCTCTGGTCTCTCTCTGGTCTCTCTCTCTGGTCTCTCTCTGGTCTCTCTCAGGTCTCTCTCTCTGGTCTCTCTCTCTGGTCTCTCTCTCTGGTCTCTCTCTCTGGTCTCTCTCTCTGGTCCCTCTCTCTGGTCTCTCTCTCTGGTCTCGCTCTGGTCTCTCTCTGGTCTCTCTCTGGTCTCTCTCTGGTCTCTCTCAGGTCTCTCTCTCTGGTCTCTCTCTCTGGTCTCTCTCTCTGGTCTCTCTCTCTGGTCTCTCTCTCTGGTCTCTCTCTCTGGTCTCTCTCTGGTCTCTCTCTGGTCTCTCTCTCTGGTCTTTCTCTCTCTGGTGTTTATCTTGCTTCTCTTTCTCTGGTCTCTCTCCCTGGGGTTTCTCTTGTTTCTCTCTCTGGCCTCTTTCATAGGGATTTACAGGCACAGAGCATTTTTTACCCTTCATAAATACCACATAGTACAGTATCTACTGAAGAGAGTATTTCCCATTCTAAAAGTGAATAGTCTCATCGTTGCGCAGTCCAGGTTAAATCCAGGTTAAATCCAGGTTAAATCCAGGTTAAGTCCAGGTCTCAGGGTTTGGGCACAAACAGGTTCAGCGTCTGCATAAACAGGTCTAATGTGTGGATCTGCAGACAGACCTAATCCCAGAGGTTTAATCTGAGCACACATCACTTCCTGACAAACATTCCTCCCTCTGTCTGCGTCCACAGAGCAGGAAGTGCGGGCAGCTGCTTCCGCCTGATCCGCGTCACTTCCTGTTTCGCCTCTGCTCCTGGGTAATAATAAACCATTGTCTTTGCACCTGTTTTAAAGTCTCCAGAGGCTCAGAGCGAATATTAGTATTGTTACAGGTGAATTTACAGCGTCTGGTCCGGACCGATCACCTCTGACACCTGTCGCACACCTCACTGAGTTCTCTGGTCACTGGTTTTAACACAGGGGTTATGTGTTCTAAAAAATAAGCCACGATAAGTGATATCCTTGAAGTTGTGAAGTTGGGGGGCGGGGCTTGTTGAGTGAAGGTTACTGCTCTCTCACAGCTGGCCCATTCTACCCTCTATGTCGTGCTCACATACATATGATAAAATAAATATCAAAACAATAAAGTAGTAATAGTAGATCATAGAACATCATTGGCATGTTTAATGTGCCTTAAAAGTGACAATCATAATTAATAGAAATTACTAAGTAAGTTCTTACTGTAGCCAGCCACTGATCAAGTGAATGTAATGCTGTAAAATGCTGTAAAAGAAATAAAAGCAAAGGAATTTAAAATAAATAAATTATAAAACGTTTTACTTCTACCCCCGTTTTGGAATTGTATTTTGTTTTTCTTGTGTATCATTATTATGAAGATTATGAAATGACGACTACAACAACAATAAGTAGCAGCTGTACTGCATGTTTTCTAACCAACTGAACTCACGAAAGCTGAAGTGAGATCGCTAAGATATCAAATATGTTAGTCGTAGGTCTTAGTGCTGCTGCAGCTGTCGAAAGCCGTGCACACACTGTAAAATACATGCAAACTCCACTCAGAAAGGAACCGTTCCGTCGAGGATTCCAACTCTGAGAAGCGAGAGTAAATGGTAAATGGTCTCACATACCCACACACACATACACATACACATACACGAACGCACACACACACAAAATACTGTACACACTGGGGCCGAGGCGGGTTAAGTGTCTTTCCCAAAGGGATCATGGCAGCTATCACCAAAGGGAGCTGGTTTCACACTTGCCGACCTCACAAGGCACTTTAAAAGTAGTCACAGTTCAAGCAGAAGTAGTGACAGCAGTAGCAGCAGTAATAGGACGGTCTAACTGAAAGGACAGAGGTGATTATCCAGGACACTCAACTCAAAACTCAACAAGATTAACGGACATTGGACATCGGCCCCTTATGGACCAATGGCTCTATGAGTTTTTATTTTTGCATTTCTTGTGTTCAACTGTTGATTCTCCGTCCTGTGTTGGCCAATTCTACGGTTTATACTACTGTTGTGATTTAGAGCTACAATTATAACATTTATTTGAATTGATAGTTACTGTAGTAGTACTAATAGTAGCAGTAGTAGTAGCAACAGTAGTGGCAGTATTGGTAGAAACAGTAGTATTGTAGTTGTAGTAGTAGTAGCAGCAGTAGCAGTTGTAGCAGTAGTAGTGGCAGTAGTAGTAGCAGTTGTAGTAGTAGTAGTAGTAGCAGTTGTAGTAGTAGTAGTAGCAGCAGCAGTAGTAGTAGCAGTTGTAGTAGTAGTAGTAGCAGCAGCAGTAGTAGTAGCAGTTGTAGTAGTAGTAGTAGCAGTTGTAGCAGAAGTAGTGGCAGTAGTAGTGGTAGTTGTAGTAGTAGTAGAGGCAAGCAGTAGTAGCAGTAGTAGTAGCAGTTGTAGCAGCAGTAGTGGCAGTTGTAGTAGTAGTAGTAGCAGCAGTAGTGGCAGTTGTAGTAGTAGCAGCAGCATTAGTAGTAGCAGTAGTAGTAGCAGTTGTAGCAGCAGTAGTGGCAGTAGTAGTGGCAGTTGTAGTAGTAGCAGCAGCAGTATTAGTAGCAGCATTAGTAGTAGTAGCAGTAGTTGTAGTAGTAGTAGCAGCATTAGTAGTAGTAGCAGTAGTTGTAGTAGTAGTAGCAGCATTAGTAGTAGTAGCAGTAGTTGTAGTAGTAGTAGCAGCAGTAGCAGTTGTAGCAGTAGTAGTAGTAGTAGTAGTAGTAGCAGTAGTAGTAGCAGTAGTTGTAGTAGTAGTAGCAGTTGTAGCAGTAGTAGTAGTAGTAGCAGCAGTTGTAGTAGTAGTAGCAGCATTAGTAGTAGTAGCAGTTGTAGCAGTAGTAGTAGTAGTAGCAGCAGTTGTAGTAGTAGTAGCAGCATTAGTAGTAGTAGCAGTTGTCGCAGCAGCAGAAGTAGAGGGAAAGTAGCACTAGTAGCAAAAATGCGTTTTCTCAGACATATCTGTCTGCCGTCTGGTTTGATCACACATTTTAGGTACCTCAGCTTTAATGCAGATGGCACCTGTAGGATGGTTTTAACTGCCTCGTCCAGGTCTGGTTCCCCAACACAGAACTGTTTTGTTGTGGTCATGAGTTTTCTATCAGCGCTGATGCCATGAAGAGTCCTCAGCGCGTTTATTAGATCAGGACATCTAAATGTGGGCGCCTAAAAGCACTCTGGGAAACGCTTCTGAGCCAAACTACTGGAAACACCACTCCAAACCTGGCAACGCGCAGGAACACAGCCCAAACGGACTCAAAACTGCAGCACAACATGAGCAGGAACTATCTCCATGACGATAGAATTCATGGTAGAGATAAAGCTGGGAAACTTCTTCAAAACTGCAAAAATGTATTACTGTATAAAAAAAAAAAATTGAGAGAGAGAGAGAGGGACCATTAAGAGAGAGACAGACACCAGTGAGAGAGAGAGACACCAGTGAGAGACACCAGTGAGAGAGACCAGAGAGAGAGACCATTAAGAGAGACACCAGTGAGAGAGACCAGAGAGAGAGACCATTAAGAGAGACACCAGTGAGAGAGACCAGAGAGAGAGACCATTAAGAGAGACACCAGTGAGAGAGACCAGAGAGAGAGACCATTAAGAGAGACACCAGTGAGAGAGACCAGAGAGAGAGACCATTAAGAGAGACACCAGTGAGAGAGACACCAGTGAGAGAGAGAGACACCAGTGAGAGAGACACCAGTGAGAGAGAGAGACACCAGTGAGAGACACCAGTGAGAGAGCCCAGAGAGAGAGAAAGAGAGACCATTAAGAGAGACACCAGTGAGAGAGACCAGAGAGAGATACCATTAAGAGAGACACCAGTGAGAGAGACCAGAGAGAGAGACCATTAAGAGAGACACCAGTGAGAGAGAGAGACACCAGTGAGAGAGACCAGAGAGAGACAAAGAGAGACCATTAAGAGAGACACCAGTGAGAGAGACACCAGTGAGAGAGACACCAGTGAGAGAGACATCAGTGAGAGAGACACCAGCGAGAAAGACACCAGTGAGAGAGACTAGGGAGAGAGAGACCAGAGAGAGATCATCAAAGGACCAAAGAGAGACCAGACAGATAGATCAGAGAGAGAGAGAGAGAGACCATTGAGAGTGACCAGATAGAAACCAGAGAGACGCCAGTTAAGAGACCAGAGAGAGATCATCGACAGACCAACGAGAGACCAGAAAGAAAGACCAGTGTGAGACTAGAGAGGGACCAGAGAGAGACAAACATATCCAGTAAATCGGTTGTCAAAAAGAATCGTCTCCAGCACTGTCGTTCCAGTCTCTAGCGCGTATGGAGCGCACGGACCCTGGAGCCGTCAGTCTCCGCGCTCCTCTCTCTGAACTCACCGCTGTTTGATTCTGGCTTTGAGGAAACTCTTCCCGAACGGAGCCATGGCCAGAGCAGCAGCGGCAGGCGAGTGAAGGCGAGGCCGGGATCAGAGCGTCATCCCCGGGCTCAGCAGCAGCAGAAGTGCGGCGCCTCCCTCCGTCAAACTTCCAGAGAGTTTGTGTGAGGAGCAGAGGGAGGAGGAGGAGGAGGTGATGGTGGTGTCCCAGGAGCAGAGAGAGGGGGACGTCCTGCCTCAGACCGGCCCCCTGTCCCGTGTGTGGGATAAGGCTGCCCTCTTCCACCCGCACGCACTCAGCACAACTTTAACAGATTTAAAGCTGCGGTACTTAACTTGCCTACAGGTGATAAGAATTATAGTAATACACCAAACTTGTATTGTACTTTTTTTAAGACAATCAAAAAAGCTTGACTTGGAGAATAAAATATTAAAGGGGTTGCATGAACAGCCTCTAAAGCCCGATCAAAGTGTGCCCGGGCCCACTTTGCGATCAGATCTGGGCTTTAGGTGCTATGTGACCGTGGCAACTGGGCTTGGGCATGGTTTCCGCAAGTGGGCCTGAGCAGGGTTCCAAAGCCCAGATGAGGGGGACAGTGTGGCGGGTGGAGGGGAGTGGGGGAAGAGGTGTGGTGGGGACTTGATATTGTGCGTCACATTACGTCTTCCGTTGTGACAGGCATTTTCACACAGTCTCTGCACTTTCGTATTCTCCGCTTGAGTTGAATCTTTCATATACCCCCCGGATCGCGGTGGAGGGGCACAGGGGAGTGTGCCGCTCCAGGGCCAAAGAAAAACGTTCCACAGTGTGGTGCTATAAGACTTCAGACTGTCCAGAATCAGACTTTATTTAATCGCCAGAACACACCAACACACACTTGTATCCTGCCTGGCCCTAACCCTAACCCTAACACTTATCTTTTTTCATTTTCATTTGTTCATTTCTCAGCGCTCTTACGCTCGTTACTAAAGAGGCGCAGTCCTGTGTCCGAGGCGCGCACACACACACACATTACCCACTGAGCAAACCCACCTGAGAAATACACATCTCACACTTGTACACATTGCTCTGATAAAAAGAATGTATTCCATGCTTGAGCTGTTAGCTACAATAGCAGAATGTAAACAGGAAGGGAAATGAAAACTGAGCGTTGTACTACAGGACAGTTGCTCTGGCACGGTTAAAAGAACAAGCCCCTGTGACCGCGGGCCGTTTTCACACCCCTGTGGCGAAGACGGCGGGTGGGTTGGTGTTGTTACAGGAGCTCACTGAGACAGGGCGGGGCCAGTTTATGGACGGACAAGTACTGTAGGTGAGGAGAAGGAGCTTGTATTGGATGCGGTATTGAACGGGGAGCCAGTGGAGCTGCTAGAGGACGGGGGTGATGTGTTCTCTGGACCGGGTGTGGGTGAGGAGGCGGGCAGCAGAGTTCTGGAGGTATCGCAGTTTTTGGAGATGAGTGGTGGGAAGTCCGTAGTTTGTCCAACAGTAAAAAGTAACATGCTGTGAACAAATCAGGAAACATGTGATTGTCAAGAGGCCAGAAACACATGCATGAAAACTATTGATACAACAAACTGTTTTAGATCCAGGAAGAGTGTTCCCTCTAATGTTTCATGTGTCTGTCTGAGCATACACCAAAGCTCCCTGTGCACACTGAGGACCACTGTGAGCAACATCTGGAGTATGGCCACAGTATCACAGCTGTTCAAAACCATGGATCACTGTAAATTACATGAAATTTAAAAGAATCATATCAGAGGGGCCTTTTTCGTCCTTTTACTTCTAGTTTGATTTTTTTTTGCCTTTAATAATTCATAATAATTCAATCATTTATAGTCATTGTCACAAAAAATAGCAAAATGACAATTAGAGATTCACCGTGATAAGCGTGTAAAGTGCAGAAGTTGGCAGGATGTAAACAGCACAGGGCAGAGGTAGATTAGCAGAACAGTAACAGGATGTGAGTGAGTATGTTAGCTGCAACAATGCGCGACCGGTTCATAGTTATGGCAGATATGTAAAAGTGCGGCACAGTGACAGTAACCTTGAACTTTTTGTAGCAGTACTTTGCCACAGGATCTCTGTTATCTGGGATTATGTTCTGCAGAATTCTTGGAGCACAGTGTAGTTCCTCAGATCAGCATTGACAGCTTGGTGCCATCGCACTTTGTTCAGATGCTTGAATGACAATATATCTTTATCCATAATCTTCGCTCAGTCCTCCATTGTACCCCTCTTTAATATTAGATAAGATAAGAAAGACTTTATTGATCTCATAATGTACATGTCACATTTGGCACAGATAGAATCACTCATATTGTGCAAAAGATAGAAAAGTGCAATATGCTGAAGTTTAAAATTATACTTGTGCAGGATATAATTATAATTATGTAAAAAAAAAAAAGAAATTCCTTACATCCCTCTTGACCGAGTCCTCTCTATGAGCCACACAATGTTCAGTTAGCTGTGGTATTTGGTGCTTTAATAAAGCCGAACACTAAGGTGGTTTCCAAGCATGACTGCGGCACCATCAGAGGTCAGCAGCACCATTCTCTGCATGTCCAATTACTTGTTGGAGTTATTGCCTGCACAATATCTTGAGTAGTGCATGCTGAGCTGGATGATGTCACCAAACAGTTTCATAAGTTAACATTATTTTGCTCCGTGTATTGAATAAATAGCACTAGCATTTTGTGTACTGATATGTCTGCTGTCATCCACTCTGCCAGGTGTCATTTTTAAGTCTTCGTACAATTCTAGCAGCATTCAAATGAAGTTTCTGCACATATGTTTGTGTTTTTTGTTACATATTTTAGGATGCATTTTCAAAGGTTAGGTTAAGTTTATATTTGGGTCACTCACCGCTGATGTTCAGAATTCTTCGTTCAGTTTTCATGTTGTTCGAGAGAGTTCTAGTTTTGAAGTTGCTAGCCTAGCTTTTACCCACATTGCTACGGCACGGCAAAACCTTTGGGATCTAACTTTCATTTGCATTCATTAAATAAACCAAAGTGAAGTTTATTTTGTCAACTGTACACACAAAATGTCGTCATGGCGGACTCAGACCCTTTCGCTGCGCGTCGGGCCCCGGTTCGCCTCGTCGGGACTTAAATTTCCGAAAATAACATGCGTTCTAAACATTATCCATTACACTAAAAGAATTAAAGAAATCAGTCTCATTAGAATTACAGCCTTCTTTACATTCGCTTCAAACAGACAGTAACTGAAACCCATGTCACATAACACTTTTTAACAACACCCCTTCATAATATAAAACAAATACATCTTAAAATGAGAGTTTCCATTTCCCATGTCCAGTCTCACAGATCAATAACACAAACCCATATGTGCAAATTAGTACAAATTACATTTTGTACTAAGGTCTGGATTTGCTCCATTTGCGCCACAATCTTGACCAGCGATTACATTTGCTAAACATTCCTCTTGCTCCAGCTTCAATTTCTTGATAGAACCAGACCGGATTACTTTACTATCGCGTTCTTCGCCATTGCCAAACTTAAACCTGCCCGTTCGGCGCAAACTCTTGACGTCACCGGCACCGACCTACAACACCCGCCTTCCGCGCTCTCTGAGTAGCCGGTCGAGATACGACCGATTGTATTCGCTAACACAGGGACCAGACCCAGACGTTACACACTGTGAAATTATGGTTGAGCGGAGTGTACGGATGGCTAAGGCCAGGCTACACAAGTCCTACTGTGTACAGAAGAACAATGCTAACCTGCTGTAGGTCAGTGAGGCCCAATAGGGAGGGGCTCAGGGTGAAGTTTTGCTCCAACTCTAGCTTCTATTGACTTACATGTTAAAGGTATATAGGAGGATTTTCTACTTCCGGGTGGATCATCAAGACTATTGGTCCTCCCAACTGCTATAGTCATTCTGGTGATTCCTGCTCGCCAAATAAGACCAGATATTTTTGTTCAAAAAATTGAGAGGGCGGATCTCTCCAAAGTGTTTGTGTCACACTGTTACGTGCCCGGCCGTTACGGTCCAGGAGAGGGTGCTGTAAAGGTTTGCCTGCCTTCTCTGCCGTCTCCTCCTCTGTGCAGGCCCACACCTGCACCATGCCACGCCCCTCATCAATGGATCTTTTCAACTGGGAATTGAGAGCTGCTCACTCTCTCCTGTGCTGCTGTCTCGTTTGGTCCTGTCCTGGTGGGCTCTGCCAGGAGCCACCATGCTCATTCTGTATTTGCACATTTGAGTTTGTCTTTTGTTTGCACCACATTCACCGCACTCACACACAGCAGCACACACTGATTACTACATGCTCACACCTCATACCTTGTTTTTGTTGATGTTATACTCGCCTTATGTTATGATTAAATATACTTTTGGTATTTTGTACCCCTGTTTCGCCTCCGTATTTGTTATGGCTCTGAGCCAGCCGTAACACACACTCACCATGTTGGGCTTTACATTCTGGGCTTTAGCATGCTGTAAAAAAGACGACCTGGATTCTTCACTGGATGCCCTTGGTATTTAAATGTATTTATTTCAGTTATATGCAACATTAAAAACTTTTTTTTTTTGTTTCTGTCTCTTCACCTTACTCAGAAGCTCACGTTGTCTCACCTTTTCTGTTCCGAGAGTTTGTAACTCTTGGACGTAGATCATTTCAAAACAAGGCTCTATCAGACATCCATAAGATCTATGATGTATTTTGGTTCTGTGGTAAGACGGGCTTTGGAGACCTGTGCTGGTGTGCTCTTACCTGCCGCTCCGTGGCGCTGGCCCGGTGGGCAATAAAAGGAGAAGGGTCTGTCTGCGGCCTGCAGTACGGAGGCGTGTCGAGTAGTAGGCGTGTCGGGTAGTGACGTCACTACCCGACACGCCTACTACACAAATTTTAAACCCGTTGAAAACTCAAAGAGAAGACATGGCTGATCGTACGCAAACAGTAAGTGACAACCAACAACGTGTTTTATTTATTTTTAGTCCGTCACACAAGTTACAGTGTATTAATGAATAAATGCACATCACCCTGATTAGAAATGTTTTTTAAGAAGTGAACTACTACCATGGATCTACGAATACATTGCAGAGAAAGCAATTTGTATGGGTTTCTTCTGAGAGTCATACTATGTGCGATCAACAAGTCGTTAGGCACTTAGCATGATTGCCCAAGTCATTTTACATCGTTAAAATGGTAATAAAGAGGAAAAACATAACCTTTTCATGTTTTCCAAGCACAGTGGAAAATTAGTTATTAATTATGCAGTTACAGAAGTCACTGACCGTAGTTATTGGATGATGTTACAAGACATTTGTGTTTCTGAGTGTGCACAAATGTCTGTTTATGTCTGCTTTCAGTTACATCCTACGATTGTCAGTGATGGACATGGAGCTGCAGAGCAGAAGCAGAGGAACACGCTCATGTGTGTAACTCATTTTAAACATGGAGAAGCACAGATCATCACACACATGCAAACCCATGAAAGGGCATATGCCAGTACTGTGGAGATGGTGGTGTATATATCTGTATATATCTTCTTCAACAACACTGCTACCAGACAATTACATGTTTTATTGGTTGCTTATTCCAAAGCCTGTGAAATTGTTTGACAAAAAAAAAGTTGTTTCAGTTGCTTTTCTGGATTCTATAATTTGTTTCTTCAGGCATGGAGGACAGTTTGCTCATTTCACCAAAAAGGGAAAACAAATAGTCAATGGATGTCTTTCACCCATCTTCAGACTGAAGAGGAAGAGACAGCCTACTGAAGAGACAAATGTAAAAATGTGACATCACAATCATTACTGAGTGATATTCATAGTGGCCTTGAACGAACACATTAGCAACTTGCATCCTTTTTCAGCAGCGCCCTTGGACAATGAACAACCAGTGCAAGGCAAAAATGACAGAAATTGTCCAGCAAACACAGTTGGTAAGTGACTGACAACATTATAAGACATTACATAAAGTGCACATGTTATGATTTTAATGTTGATACTGATGATAATGTTATGGAATAACGAATGCTAGAACAATTGTGAGTTACTGGAGGATAGCGAAAAGCCACTCCATAATTATTAACAACCGTTATTTCAAAATTATTTGTGAGAAATGTATTTTTAAATTTTAGAAAGCGGTAAAAGAAACACAGTGGGTGCAGCAACTTGAGTGTGCTGACGATCAAGTGCATGAAGGGGAGCAGCTCAATTAGGGAAGGTAAAACATATCAGCATGAAGATATACTTAGTAAGATTTCAAAGTGAAAGACTTTCTCAATAATTTGGTTGTTGTCATTTTAGTCATACTGTCAATATGGCTATTACTATCAATAATGACCATCTCCAGCCTCTAATATAACTATTCTTTTTCAGGCTATCTTAACTGGGCCTTGTTTCAACTTGGGAATCCAGGAGGGAGAGGCCAACCCTTTACTTTGAGGACGAGCAACTGGATGAGGTTGTCTCCTTCTTGTTTGCCGTCATCAGGGAGACCCCAAGAGCAAGACAGCAGAACGACTGGATTGACGTCGTCATGATTGTGCTCGTACCGTAAGTATAGCATGATTAACATGTTTGTTTTACATTAGTAGGCCCGAGCGCCTCCAGGTTGGCACAGGGACTATTGTAATGAAAGTGTGCATAAAACAAAGACTGATCCCCCTCAAACATAAACATCTCATGGTACATGTTTCCTGGATGTACACTACTAAAAATAAGTCTGCATTGCAACATTGTTGATGTACAGAGACCATAAAGTCATAAGTGCAAGTCACTGACAATTTTTTAAACAGGACACAACACCTTTTAGGGCTGCATTTGGTTTTGTGAATTGTTGTTGTTGAATGTAACACATTTCACTCTTATTTAGGTGACAGTTCACACTCTGGCCGAGGCATTTCACCTGCCTCAGCAAGAGTCAATTGGAAGATTCAAAAAGGGGCCAAAGTATGAACCATGGTAAGATTATTTTAAATATTGATGGAAATAATTCAATGTTTACTGCAACATCTAATCTGTGATTGTTCTTTTTGGACAGTGAGTTTAAACTGATTGTGGATGCCCTGGTGAGACATTTACCGGAGGAGGCAGAAGGGAAGCTGAAAGCATTTGAAGATGGAGATTAGCGCTCTCTTCTGAAGCCTTTCTCTCAAGATTAAAAAAAAAAAAAAAAAATGTGGTTGCAATTTGTTTTGTGTAGAACTTATTCAGTGTCTACATTTCAGAGCCATTCACATAACACAAATTCATAAAAAAGCATGTACATAAAATGCCAGATAACAATAAGATGTTCTTGATGTTTAATCTCTCTCTTCTACATATTTGACAAAACACAATAATTATGAATGTCTGCTTGTCCCAAAATGCCAAAGCAGGGAGCTGGGCACAAAAAATGTTATGGCATGTTCTCTTTATGATCAGTAATGTGAGACCGTGGGCGTTGGAGTGTGTAGTGGTGGTGTAATAATAGCTTTAACTTGTAGTGTGCTTTTCAATCCTGTGTTGACAAGTTTCTCAAAACCACACACTGTAGTCTTTATTCATTTATTCCACACAGTGTGTCACAGCTGGGTTGGAGGATGCCAGGCTACTAATCTGTGCTGTTGGCCACCACCAAGCAGTCTCTCACTATGTCCACACATGTGGGTGAAGTGCATTGCTCAAGAACATACCAGACTGCACTTAGGGCAGCCAGGATTTGAGCCACCAACCATAGCCCCCTTTTATAAATGAATCTACACATTAGACATAAGCACTGACATTATTTGACTCTTAACTTAACTTTTGTCCGGAGCCGCTTCAAATCCCTATTGATTGTCTGAAGTAGTCTGAAGTAATGGCAGCTTTTGTAGGCAAATTTACTACTTTGATATTTACAAAATTCGTCCATTTTCCCCCAATAAATAATGACAAGATCCATGCTCATACCCCTTTAAGAAACGTGGAATGGGCGTGTCGTGTAGTAGGCGTGTCGGGTAGTGACGTCACTACCCGACACGCCTACTACTCGACACGCCTCCGTACTGCAGGCCGCAGACAGATACACTTGAATAAAAGCGCTCCCAAATCTCAGCTGTATTCCTCTTTGCCCACACACTCTTCCGGGCCCTTGTGTTGGCCGCCTGTTCACCAGCTCCAGTGCCACTGTCTGATCACTGCAAAATACAGCATTTCCTCGCTGCTCTGCACCACTCTGGTGCGCGCATCCGTGCACTGTGTTACAGCCACGCTGCAGGACTGGCCGTGCCATCAGGCAGCCTGCTCCATGCGCCATCCCTTGGCCTTTCAAGCCGGCACCGTGCGCAGTTGCTCACCTCAGCGGTGTCCTCAGAGGTCTGCAGTGGCACTGACACGTTGCCTCCTGCTGTTTTGCCACTGATGTTTTGCTCCTGTGTTTTGTCTACTGCTGATTTTGTGTCGGCCTAAAGTGCTGTTTTACGGTTGCCTGTTTTTGTGTCCCACTTTGCCTGCTCCTCCCCGTCTGGTCTAGGTCGCGCGCTGCGCACTGGTGTGTCCCTTCAGACGGCGAGCAGAGACGCGGACCCGTGCGCACACTCTTTGCCCTGGGTTTTGCCTGTCAGGCGGACATTTCAGGCAATTTACTCGTTTAAACCTTTTATTTTTACATTAGCGCTTTTTAATGTGAAAGCATCTTAACTGTCTAAAAAAATTGATTGTTAATTAAATATATCTTTTGAATAAAACTGAATTAACTGGAACCGGTTGCCTTGTATTTCAATACACTTACTTGTGTGCCTTCAATCTACACTACATTATTTCCCCAGGAAGTCTGGGGTGGCGTTGCTACAACCTCTAAAATCTTTTATTATTAGTATTTCTCCGATCTGTTAACCCCTCGGTTGCCACATCTTGGCGTTCGCTGACAGGATTATTGAAAAAAAGAGAAAAAACAAGGCCCGGTTTCCATTTAAGTTGTGAAAGATGCAATGAATTTCATTGAAGTTATGTGGTGTAATTAACGTTTTTTCACTACCAAAGCTAAATCAACTGGTCCTGTGTTGTGCCAATTCAATGCATGTTTATTTGTGTATTTTGCTGTTTTATTTTTGCATGTAGTGTTGTGCTTTAACCATTTGTTTTCTATTGCTGTGTACATATATATGGAATTTGGTTCTCACACTAGCTGGCTTGATATTGCTATTGAAGTGTAAATCTAAAACTAAACTACTATACTGTTACATCTGAATTCATTGTACTGTATCTTGACACTTTACAAGGGGAATTGCTTTCAGTTTTAAGGCAGAGCAGCAGTGTCGGCAACGTGTAGGTTTTTATAATATACTGCGTTTTTCTGTGTTCTTTTTTTTCCCCCACGTGTTTTCCAATGGCAGCAGAGGTTCAGAACCTCAAAGATCAGGTGGCCCAGTTAACCGCTGAGAATGAGAGGCTGCGTTCGGACCAGGCTGCCCCTGGTACCTCCAGGGCAGAGTCCTCTGCCATGCCTGCAGCTGCCTCCATCACAGAGCGGCTTATGTATATACCCCGGGACAGGAAATGTCCTATGTTCAGGGGCCATACAGGCATCAGTTTGAGTGAATGGGTCGAGGAGGTCGAAGCATGCATGAGAGCGCGTCACCTGTCCCGTGCAGACCAAGCTTATTTCATGTATGACCACTTGGAGGGAGAAGCTCGACATGAAATTAAGTACCGATCCAGTGCAGAGCGAAAAGACCCAGATAAATTGATCTCCATTTTGCAAGATCTATACGGATGCTCTGACTCCTATGTAGCTTTGCAGGAGTCGTTCTTCTCTCGCAAGCAACAGGAGGGGGAGACCCTGCAAGAGTTCTCCCTCGCTTTGTTGAGCTTAATGCATAAAGTGAAAGCGCATGCTCCAAACGATATGCCCAATTCTGAGGCATTGTTGCGCGATCAATTTATCGAGCATGTGCTGGACGGTGCCTTGCGTTGTGTGCTTAAACAACACGTCCGCCAAAACCCAACAGCAACCTTGCTTGTGGTCAGAGAGGAAGCAATGAGATGGGAGCGTGAGGGTCTTCCAGCCAGCGCCCGGGGTCGGAGTAATTCGATGCCTTCAGCATATGGTCTCCAAAACACTGTGCGCGGTGTACCACCAACCCCTACCTACTCCTCGCAGTCTGAGGTAAGTGAAATGAAGGAGCTCCTGAAAAGGCAGCAAGAACAGCTTGACTTGCTTACTCGGAGCATCGCCCTCCTGCAGGCTGAGTCCTCACGTAGTCACTCCCCCCGTCGTCAAGCGCCTGTCATTTGTAACCGGTGCCACCGACCTGGACATATAGCCAGGAATTGCCGTGGATCACGTGGTTCCACTCACTCCCGTTCAGAACAGCAGTCGGAAAACTAGCACCCACCAGGCTGCAGAGCCACAGCTCGGGTGGGGTTCCTACTGGCTCAGGAAACGTTCCTAGTCGTTCCGTTGCTGTTCCAAAACTTATTGCTTCTTGCCCCCATATTAACGTGAACATGGCTGGCGTTATAGTACCATGCTTGCTCGACACCGGGTCCATGGTATCAACCATCACAGAGGGTTTCTTCCGGGAGCATTTTGAGTCTCTGGGCAAAGACCGTCTTCAGGCGTGTCATTGGCTTCAGCTCAGAGCTGCCAATGGTTTAGCCATTCCCTATCTAGGCTATTTGGAACTAGACGTTAAGCTTTGTGGAAAGTTAATGCCTAGGTGTGGTGTACTGGTGGTGAGGGATCCTCCCAGCATGCCTGTGCAGGTTCCTGGTGTGCTTGGTATGAATGTCATCCAGAGGTGCTACAAAGAGCTATTTGGACAATACGGGTCTGCTTTATTTGACACAGCCCCCGTAGTTTTGTCTCCTGACCCTTTGGTCGATGCACTTCAGAAGTGTCATTTGGCTCATCAGAGGCCACCTCCAGCACAACCAGGTAGAGTCAGGGTGCGGAGAAGGCAAGCTTGCCGCATTCCTGCTGGTGTGATGAAGATAGTGCCAACTACATGTTCAGAGCTGTACAGTGATAAATCAGCGCTTTTCGAACCCTCAGAGTCTGGTTTACCTGCTGGACTGCTGGCTTCTCCAGCATTGGTTCGGGTAGCTTTTGGGACCGCCTATGTCCCAGTCATCAATGTTGGGACTACCGATGTCCTGCTGCATCCTCGCACCGTTGTAGGTACACTGGCCCTAGTTAATGTGGTGAGCTTGCCTGCGGGTGTGACGGAGGTGCCAGCTGCAGCCGCGTCCGTCTCATCGCAGACGGCCACCACCTCTGTGTCAGATGTTTTTGAAGGACTAGATCTGTCTCTTCTGTCCAGGGAGGAGCAGGACCAGGTGCGATCTCTCTTAAGGAGGTATACGTCAGTGTTTGCTGCCCATGACCAGGACTTGGGATGCACCAACTTGGTCACCCATGACATCCCTCTCACGGATGAGGTGCCAGTCCGGCAGCGGTATCGGCGAATACCTCCATCAGAGTATGAGCTCGTTAAAGAGCACATCCATCAGCTCTTGGAGGCACAGGTGATTACGGAGAGTTCCAGTCCCTACGCCTCCCCCATAGTTCTCGTCCGGAAAAAGGACGGAAGCCTCAGACTGTGTGTTGACTACCGTCAACTGAACAGCAAGACCCGAAAGGATGCGTTTCCACTACCCCGCATCGAGGAGTCGCTGGACGCTTTGACAGGTGCTCGCTGGTTTTCCACCTTGGATTTAGCCAGCGGGTACAACCAGGTACCTGTCACCGAAAGCGATCAGCACAAAACTGCGTTCTGCACGCCATTTGGGTTGTTTGAGTGGAAACGCATGCCTTTCGGGCTCTGCAATGCCCCCAGCACCTTCCAACGTCTGATGCAACGCATCTTTGGGGACCAACAGTGCCGGTCTCTCCTTTTGTACCTGGACGACATTGTGGTCTACTCGTCCAGTGTCCAGCAGCATCTGGAGAGGCTGGCTGTGGTGCTGGGTCGGCTGCAGAAGGAAGGTCTGAAGGCGAAGCTGAGTAAGTGCAGCTTCTTCCAGACAGAGGTGAAGTACCTTGGGCACGTCATCTCTGATCGAGGAGTAGCCACTGACCCTAGCAAAATTGACGTAGTAGCTGATTGGCCCACTCCAACCACGGCCACGGAGCTGCGATCGTTTTTAGGTTTCGCAAGCTACTACCGTCGATTTGTGGAGGGATTTGCAAAGTTGGCTGCTCCTTTGCACCACAGGGTGGCAGCGCTCACTGGTAAGCCCTCCAAAAAGAGAACTGCCCCAATCACTGAGGCAGACTGGACTGAGGAGTGCCAACGAAGCTTCGAAGCCCTTAAGGCCAAGCTCACCTCAGCTCCGGTTTTGGCATATGCAGACTTCTCTCGTCCCTTCATCTTAGAGATTGATGCAAGCCACGGTGGGTTGGGCGCTGTGCTTTCACAGGAGCACGAAGGTAAAGTGAGGCCGATAGCATATGCTAGTCGCGGGTTAAGACCGACTGAGCGGAACATGTCAAATTACAGTTCCATGAAGTTGGAGCTGTTGGGTCTCAAGTGGGCCCTTACAGAAAAATTCAGGGAGTACCTGTTGGGGCACAAGTGTGTCGTCTACACAGACAATAACCCATTGAGCCACCTACTGTCTGCGAAGCTAGGGGCCGTAGAACAGCGTTGGGCCGCTCAGTTGGCCTCCTTCGACTTTGAGCTTAAGTATCGGTCAGGGAGAAGCAACACAAACGCTGATGCTCTTTCTCGGCAGCCCTGGTCATCGCAGACACTGGAACCACTGGTGCCAGGTACTCTTCTGCCTTCTCCTCTTCTGCAAGCCCTGCGGGGTCAGCAGGAGCAGGTGTTACAGTCCATGGTAGTGGTCTTCCCGCGCTGCGCTCCTGCTGACCTTCCTACTCTCCAACAGGAGGACTCGGCCATCCAGGAAGTCATGGCATTCTGGCGGCAGAAACGACGGCCCACTCCAGATGAGCGAAAGGGCTTTTCTCAATCTGCCCTCACCCTGCTCGGACAGTGGGACCGTTTAGTGGAACTGGACGGGCTTCTGTACCGACAGGTATTTCGTTCGGATGGTGGTGGTGCCGTACACCAGGTTCTGCTGCCCAAGGCTTTGGTCCAGGATGTCCTAAAGCAGGTGCACCAAGAACATGGCCACCAGGGAGTGGACAGGACCCTGGCCTTGCTGCAAACTCGCTGCTACTGGCCTGGGATGTCCCGAGAGGTAGCTCGGTGGTGCCAGGCCTGTGAGCGGTGCCAGTTCGCTAAGAACAACCAACCCGCCCCTCACAGCTACTTGGGGCACCTGTTGGCCTCTCGGCCAAATGAAATCGTTGCCATCGATTTCACCGTATTAGAGCCTACCCCAACTGGCTTGGAAAATGTCCTGGTGATGACCGATGTTTTTAGTAAATATACCTTGGCCATTCCCACCAGAGATCAACGGGCCTCCACCGTGGCCCAGGTTCTGGTTGCTGAGTGGTTCATGAAGCTGGGCGTCCCCGCTCGCATCCACTCGGACCAGGGCCGTAACTTTGAAAGTGCTTTAATCCAACAGCTGTGCAGTCTGTATGGGGTCATAAAGTCTCGCACTACGCCCTATCATCCAGCTGGTAACGGGCAGTGCGAGCGCTTTAACAGGACCCTTCACAATCTGCTGCGTGCCTTGCCACCCTCGCGCAAACGAGACTGGAGTTCTTGCTTGCCGGAGGTCCTGTTTGCATATAACACCACCCCTCACCAGTCAACAGGGGAATCCCCTTATTTCCTGATGTTCGGGCAGGAACCTCGGCTACCTGTTGACTTCTTTCTGGGTCAGGTGAGGGAACCGGTGGCAGGGAGCGTTAGTGAATGGGTTCACGAACACCAAGCACGACTAGAGGCAGCTTTCGAAGGGGCTCGGGAGCGCTTAAGGGCTTCAGCCCATCGTCGTAAGAACCACTACGATAGACATGTGCGAGATGCACCCCTTATAGAGGGTCAGCTTGTGCTTCTGCGCAACTGTGCTTTCCGTGGTTGGCAGAAGACTCAGGACCTGTGGAATTCGGTCACCTATCAGGTTATGCAGGTACCGAAGGAACAAGGTTCCGTATACACTGTGGCGCCAGTCGATGACCCCAGTAAGATTAAGCGGGTACATCGCTCTTTGCTTAAAGCCTTTGTCACCTTTGACATATCTGACGCTGCTGTCGGTAATCCATCTGGTGGTTCTGGTGAACCGCCTCCATTAAGTGACGAACCCTCTCTTGAGTCCTTAGATGGTGACCTGTTTTTAAGGACTCGGCCTACTCTGGAAACTTCCTCCGCTCTTCCCGATCGACATGCTGTGTCTCGGATCACTACTCCATCCTTACAGCCGCCTCACCCAGTTCCGGCAGGTTTGGGACTCCCTCAGGTTTCCCCTTCTGGGGTGCCCAATGTTCAACGAAGGTCTGTGGCACAGACTGTCGCCCCTGGCCAGGAGGAGAGCCTGCGTAGATCCACTCGCTCCACGGCTGGACGGCATGCCAACCTGCATCATCTCCCAAGGTCATCACACCTTCCGGCCAGGGGAGAGGATGCTGCATCCTCTTCTTCTAGCGCCGTAAGCACACTCTTCAGGCCATGGAACTAGGTGAAGTATGTCCATCGTCGGGGCGACGATGCAAACTGGGGGGGTAGAATGTGGTAAGACGGGCTTTGGAGACCTGTGCTGGTGTGCTCTTACCTGCCGCTCCGTGGCGCTGGCCCGGTGGGCAATAAAAGCGCTCCCAAATCTCAGCTGTATTCCTCTTTGCCCACACACTCTTCCGGGCCCTTGTGTTGGCCGCCTGTTCACCAGCTCCAGGTAAAGTCCCGCTCTATGTCCAGTTTCACGCAATATCCCTCTAAAAATTCCGTCACTTAGTAGTCGCTTCACTTTCCATTTAGTGCCACTGTCTGATCACTGCAAAATACAGCATTTCCTCGCTGCTCTGCACCACTCTGGTGCGCACATCCGTGCACTGTGTTACAGGTAAGATCGCCTTGGCCCATTCTCTCCTCTGTGCCTATTATGTGTACATTATAAAAGCATTAAAGTGGCGTCTGGATTCCAGCCACGCTGCAGGACTGGCCGTGCCATCAGGCAGCCTGCTCCATGCGCCATCCCTTGGCCTTTCAAGCCGGCACCGTGCGCAGTTGCTCACCTCAGCGGTATGTCTCTCTTCCATTTTTGTAGTTCCCCACTTTTTCATTTAGGATTTGGTTTAGTTTAGTAATCTTCCAAAATTAATATTCTTTCTAGGTGTCCTCAGAGGTCTGCAGTGGCACTGACACGTTGCCTCCTGCTGTTTTGCCACTGATGTTTTGCCTCCTGCTGTTTTGCCACTGATGTTTTGCTCCTGTGTTTTGTCTACTGCTGATTTTGTGTCGGCCTAAAGTGCTGTTTTACGGTTGCCTGTTTTTGTGTCCCACTTTGCCTGCTCCTCCCCGTCTGGTCTAGGTCGCGCGCTGCGCACTGGTGTGTCCCTTCAGACGGCGAGCAGAGACGCGGACCCGTGCGCACACTCTTTGCCCTGGGTTTTGCCTGTCAGGCGGACATTTCAGGCAATTTACTCGTTTAAACCTTTTTATTTCTACATTAGCGCTTTTTAATGTGAAAGAATCTTAAATGTCTTACAAAGTTGATTGTTAATTAAATATATCTCGTGAATAAAACTGTGAATTAACTGGAACCGGTTGCCTTGTATTTCAATACACTTACTTGTGTGCCTTCAATCTACACTAAATTATTTCCCCAGGAAGTCTGGGGTGGCGTTGCTACAACCTCTAAACTTTTATTATTATTTCTCCGATCTGTTAACCCCTCGGTTGCCACAGTTCATTTAAGTTTTAATTATTTAAGTTCCTTAAAACTCCTTGTTTATGTCACTAATGTTTGTATTCTGTATGTATGTCATTCTTTATAGCTTTACTTTGTCTCTTTCTAAATGTTTAATTTTAGCAGAGGGGAGGAGTGGGTTAGTTTAATTTTATTTTTGGTGTGTGTTTATGTATCTTTTCTTATCCTAAATGCTCTGTAAATTGTTGTGTATGTATGTGTGTATGTTTACATGTTTGTATTCATGTTTAGGACCACCTCGAAAATGACATGATTCATTTCGAGGGGTTTTCCTTAAATAAACTTAAACGTATACAGCTGTACGTCTGTGGCAGCCGATCCCTCTCTCAAAAAGGTTTCTCACTTTTTACCTACTGGTTTTCTGAGTGGCAGAACGGCAGCAAGTCCAAAGTAGCTCTGAAACAGTTGTCGTTTTGTGTTTTAAAAAAAATGTCTAACTATTTTCTACCTGAGATGTTGCTGCAGTACAGTGTTCATGGTTTTGCACTGGTCCAGACCGGAGCGGAGAGGATTCAGGGTCTGAACCAAATGGAGCATCCCAAAATCCACTGGAGAAATGCTAACTTTTTGAAAAATGCTAATGAATGGACCAGAGCAGAGAAAATGGTCCGAACCCGAGCAGCGGCGACTCCCCCTCTGCTGCTGCGACCTGAAGGGCTGCTGCTGATTATTACTATTGTTCACTTTTTTAGAATGATCAATTGTTTTGGTTTTTTTCGCTGCTACTGGACGCCAGAATTTCACCTACAGGGGTTAATAAAGTATCTATCTATTTATCCCGCTCTCTATGGACCCATGGCTGCTACAGTATTTGATTCTCTGATCTGTTGTGTGCGAATCCACAACTTTGTGAAGTCCTCCAAGGCGACTGCTGTTGTGGTTTAGAGCACGGGTCTCCAACTTGTAGTTCGGGAGCTACCAGAAGCGTGATCTTGAATGAATACTTTTTGAGCCATTACATATCTATTAAGTATAAATACAGTATTATGGTATTCTGATTTCCATGTTTTGTTGTAATTTTGCCTTTTGCCTCTTTGTTTGTATAAAAGTATACCTCTCCAATTGAAAAAGGTTGGAGACCCCTGGTTTAAAGCGATACACAAATAAATTGAATTGAATCTGTGGTTGTGTTTGTAATTCCAGTTTCCCCTTGATGCTCCGTGTATTTTCTGACTTTCCTGTGGTTATGTATAAGTATGAGACATTCAGAGACGAAACTTGCCGTCTTTACCGTCTCGCTCACGCCGACGCCTCGACGCTGACGCAGACCTGACGCGGTTTTGTGATGCCACATTTGACAATCCGGATCCTACAAACGTCATCTTCTGTGGGAGACTCGGAGGTGCAGAGTGGGAGGAGCTACGGACGTTTAAAAAGAAGACATCCACCGGTGCTTCTTCACACACAGCTGCAGAGACCAGAGAGGAGACCAGGGACCAGAGACTACAAGACCAGAGAGGAGACCAGGGACCAGAGACTAAACGACCAGAGAGGAGACCAGGCACCAGAGACTAAAAGACCAGAGAGGAGACCAGGCACCAGAGACTACAAGACCAGAGAGGAGACCAGGCACCAGAGACTAAAAGACCAGAGAGGAGACCAGGCACCAGAGACTACAAGACCAGAGAGGAGACCAGGCACCAGAGACTAAAAGACCAGAGAGGAGACCAGGCACCAGAGACTACAAGACCAGAGAGGAGACCAGGGACCAGAAAGTAAAAGACCAGCGAGGAGACCAGGGACCAGAGACTTAAGCCCAGAGAGGAGACCAGGGACCAGAGCCTAAAGAGGAGATCAGGGACAAAAACCAGAGAGGAGAAGAGACCAGACGAAAGAGACCAGACCAGAGACGAGAGCAGCCAACACTGGACCTAACAGCATCACTGGACTTTCTATTGAAGTTTTACATTTTTTGCCAGAATTATTCTCTTTTCTTCAGAAATACATATATTTTTGGAGTCTGCGTTTTGCCTGTTTTGGTAGAGATGCAGGTACAGACGGTTTGCGCGGTCTTACTGTGCTTCACCTGCGGCGCGCTGTGTTCAGGTGAGGACCGAGCCACTGCTGCTAATGTGAGGGTTTGTTTGTTGTGTTAAAGCTGGAGTACGTAACTTTCAAGCCACAACAGTAAAGCAAAATAGAGTAAAAGAAAATCCCTGTCCCTAGGTCCTGGCTTTAAAAAAAAAAATCCGTCAATCTCTAGTTTTCACATGCATGTACTTTTGGCCTCTTGCACATGTTCAGATTTTGCAGACAGAAAAGTGAAAAAGAGAGAGACAAGAGTGACCAGAGAGAGGCCAAAGAGAGAGAGAGGCCAAAGAGAGAGAGAGACCTGTATATGTTTTTTTTGGGCGCGCTGATGTCACATGAACGTGTTGCTGTTGCAGAGCTGGACCTGGACCAGAGGGCCCTGACGCAGGAGATCCTGAGCAGTCTCTTCTCTGCAAAGGTACAGGCTTTCATCGCACCTCTCCTCTGAGTTTTATTCAGTTACTCCATCCCCTCTTTCCCCATCCTCTCTCTCTCTCAGACCCCTCTCTCCAGCTTCTCTATTCCTGTCTTCTCTCTCAATGCCTCTCTCCCTCTTTTCTCTCCCTCTGCTCTCTCTCTCCATCCCCTCTCTCTCTCCATGCTCTCTCTCCCCATCCCATCTCTTTCCATCCTCTCTCTCTCCATCCCCTCTCTCTCAGACCCCTCTCTCCATCTTCTCTATTTCTGTCTTCTCTCTCAATGCCTCTCTCCCTCTTTTCTCTCCCCTCTCTCTCCATTCCCTCCCCTTTCTCCATCCTCTCTCTCATCCCCTCCCTCTCTCCATCCCCTCTCCCTCTCCATCCCCTCTCTCTCCAGCTTCTCTATTTACAATTACAATACAATACAATACAATTTATTCTTGTATAGCCCTAGGTCACAACAGAAGTCATCTCAGAGGACTTAACAAAACCATTGAAATCACCAACACAGGTCAGAGAATCAACAGTTAAAACACATGAAGAATACAGTATAAAGCACACACAGAAGAAAATGTCCATACATGTTGTAGAATGCTAAAGTGTCCTGATCATCACCAATCCTTTCTGTTGGACACTAACTGTCCAACAAGACCCTCCTGCATCGACAAGGAAAAACTCTTAAAAAACCCAGTGGGAAAAAGTGAGAAACCTTGGAGGAGAACTAGGGAAACCCACAGGGAGGGAGACCCATATGAGAAAGGGATCCGCTCCTCCGGACGGACAGACTAATGATCTAGGACCTAAGCTAGCTACAGAACGTGGACCAGTGGACGCTGAACGTGGACAGGTCCGGTGCAGGACCGAAGCACTCCCAGGCGGGTCGGGCGGGGCAGTCCGCAGGTGTAGATGGAAGAGGCCAGGCTCAGAGATCCCGTCATCGTACCATGAAACAGACAATGGGACAACGGGTGAATAGCAATGAACAAACTACAGTCAGAATCCTAAAAATGCTAAACAGATAAAGTAGGAAGGAGGAGAGGATAGTGCTCAAGTTACCATACTTCTCCCAGCAAACTGACTCCCTATGCAGCTTGACTAACACTCTGAGGAGTTTAACCTTCTCCGAGTCTTACCTTCCTAGCCATATGCTAAACTAAAGAGGACTGTTTTAAACCTAGCCTTGAATAAAGAATAACATACAGCATAATATATAACATAATATACAACATAACACAATACATTATTGAATAATATATAACATAATATATAACATAATACAGCATATATATATAATATATACACTACATATTATATATTACCTAATTATATGCTAAATTAAAGTAAAGTGCTTTAAGCCTGGCCTTGAATGTGGAGACCGTATCTGCTTCCTTAACATAAATGGGAAGCTGATTCCACAGTAAAGGAGCTTGGTAGCTAAATGCTCTGCCACCAACAGTGACCTTTGAGACCTTAGGGACCACCAGACGTCTGGCGTTTTGTGAGCGCAACGCTCGACTTGGTTGATACGACACTAACGTGTCTTGGAGATAAGAAGGAGCCAAGCCATTTATGGCTTTATATGTTAAGAGTAGGATTTTAAACTTTATTCTGTACTCCACAGGGAGCCAGTGGAGTGATTTTAACACCGGAGTTATGTGCTCCCTCCTTTTGGTACCTGTTAAGATCCTAGCTGCTGTATTCTGAACGAGCTGGAAGCTCTTCAAAGAGGCTTTAGGGCACGCTGCCAGTAAAGCGTTACAGTAGTCGAGCCTTGAGGTGACAAACGCGTGAATGAGTTTTTCCGCGTCACTTTTAGGAAGGAAATTCCTAATTTTAGCGATGTTCCGTAAGTGGAAGTACGCCGTTTTAGTTGCTTGGCTTATATAAGCCTTGAAGGAGAGTTCTTGGTCAAAAATGACTCCAAGATTCCTCACAGTGTTACTGGGTATTATACTGACATTATCGAGAGTAACCATCTGGTTAGTGAGGGAGTCACGCAGGCGCTTCGGACCGAGTAGGATCACTTCTGTCTTCTCCGGGTTGAGAAGTAGGAAGTTAAGAGTCATCCACATTTTAAGGTCCTTTATGCAGGCACTGAGCTTTTCTAGCTGATCTGTCTGATTAGGCTTCATCGACAGATAAAGCTGTGTGTCATCTGCATAGCAGTGGAAATTAATTCCATGCTTTTTAATAATGTTTCCCAGTGGCAGCATGTAGAGAGTAAAAAGAATCGGTCCGAGTACCGAACCCTGCGGCACACCGAATTCCACTCCAGAATAAGGCGACGAGTCCTGATTCACATTGACGAAGTGATATCGATCTGATAAATAGGATTTAAACCAGCCAAGGGCTGTTCCTGAACACTGTACCAGGGCGACGATGATCTAATCCTAATGGTTTTCTGTTTTAAAGGAGCTGCTGCATTTAATGCAGATTTTAAAGACTCCATAGTGTTGCCCACCGTTTGGTCGATGACTGAGGGACTGCAGCTGCTGTGAACAGGTTCACCTGCAGCAGTATTCAACATAGGCTGTATTAGTTCTTTGAACCTTGTGATAGATTTATCATTTAAGGTTCTTTTCATTATGGTTTTATCTTGCGGGACAGGAAAGTCCTCCAAAGCGAGATCAAACGTGATCAAGAAATGGTCAGACAGCAACGAGCTTTGACGCTGGATGTCAACATTGGAGACATCACAGCCGTAGGTCAGGACAAGGTCCAAGGTGTGGTTATGAATGTGAGTAGGTCCCTCGACATTCTGAGTAAAACCAACACCATCTAGTACGGCGCTGAAAGCTTTGTTTAAGCTGTCAGTGCTGTCGTCCACATGTATATTGAAGTCTCCAGCTATAACTATGTTTTCCCATTCCAAAACTAGGTTTGAAATGAAGTCAGAGAATTCTGTTAGGAACTCGCTGTAAGGACCAGGAGGTCGGTATAAAACTATAAATAGTACTGCTTTTTGTTTTCTCCACCCAGGACAGGTGATTGAAAGTGTTAAGTTTTCAAACGAGTGAAAAGCGTTGTTGGTTTTGGGACTAAGAACCAAGTTGGTGTGTGATATAATCGCAACACCACCGCCGCGACCTGTAGCTCTGGCTTTCTGGTAGTTAACATGCGTCGGAGGAGTGCACTCATTCAATCTAACGTAGTCGTCCTGTTGGAGCCAAGTCTCCGAGAGCGCTAACAGATCCAAGCCCTTGTCTATAATAAGTTCGTTTATGAGAAGCGATTTAGACGAGATTGATCTGACGTTCATTAAACCACATTTAACAACCCTACTGTTAGAACTATTTCTGTCTGTCTGAACTTTTATTAAGTTACTGTGTCTGACACCTAGGTCAGATTTCCTCGCATATAGTGCTTTAGACTTCAAGCGGGGAACACACACAGTTTCAATCTGACTAGGTTCTGAGGCTAGTAACTGAGCACACACAGGCACACACACACATGCACACACAGTTTCAATCTGACTAGCTTCTGAGGCTAGTAACTGAACAGATGGGGGCTCAGAGGTTGTGGCAGAGCAGCTCTGCACCCGGGCCTCAGTTCTGCATCGTCATTTGAGCCGAGCAGAACAGTTTAGAGCCAGGGCCAAATTCTTAGCCAAAAGGGATGTACCCGCCAACGTTGGGTGGATATCATCCGAGCGGATGAGACCGGGCTTTCCCCAAAAGGCACTCCAATTGTCAACATGAACAACACCACTTCGAGGGCACCAGCCAGACAGCCAGCGGTTGAAAGCCGAGTGTCTGCTGAATGCTTCTGCACTGCTAGTGCTAGGTAGGGGCCCAGAGAAGATGACAGTGTCGGCCATTGTGCTAGCCAGCTTGCACACGGCGGCGACTTGCAGCTTCAACACCTCGGACTGTTTCCGCCGAACGTCATTACCACCCGCGTGAATAACAATTCGACGGAAACGCTGCTTGTGGGTCATCATGAGCCTCAGATTCCCTTCAATATCACCAATATTTCTGTCTTCTCTCTCAATGCCTCCCTCCCTCTTTTCTCTCCATCCTCTCTCTCCCCATCCCCTCTCTTTCATCCTCTCTCTCCATCTCCCCTCTCTCCATCCTCTCTCTCTCTCCATCCTGTCTCTCTCCATCTCTCTCTCTCCATTCCCTCTCTTTCTCCATCCCTTCTCTCTCACACATTCTCTTTCCATCCGTTCCCTTTCTGCGTCCCCCGTTTCTCTCCATTCTCTTTCTCTCTCTCCATCCTCTCATTCCATTCTCTCTCTCTCTCTCTCTCCATTTTGTCTCTCTTCATTTAGTTTTTGTCCAATCATTTACTGCTTTCTATTGCAGACACACAAACCTTCACAAATCTCTGACCTCAGCTCAAGTCTCATTAAGAGTCCCAGTACGAGTCCCATCCGAGTCTCAGTCTCAGTTGACCATGACGTAGCTGCGTCTTCTCTAAGTGTGGAGATCTGAGATTGAGACCAGAGCTGCGTTTGTGATCAGAAGTGAATTAAGAGGGTGTAACGACTTCACGCCCAGAACTCTGCTCACAATCACATTTACTGTCATCAGCACGAGAAGCTCCACCACTGGACTCGAGGAGCAGACCAGAGAGAGGGAGAGACCTGATGGACCAGAGAGAGAGAGAGACTGAAGAGAGACCAGAGAGACAAAAGGGAGAGACCAGAGAGAGAGAACAGAGGAACCAAAGAGAGAGACCATAGAGAGAGACCTGAGGGACCAGAGGGAGAGACCAGCAAGATACAACAGAGGGACCAGAGAGAGACCCAATAAGGACTAGAGTGAGACCTGAGGGACCAGAGAGAGAAGAGAGCAGACCAGAAAGACTTTAAAAAAGGGAGCTGTCATGTTATACTGTTGCTCGTGAGAGATCTCTCTTCAGTGCTTTTCTCGATTGTCATCTTTCTCAAGATTTTTCTTCTCGACATCAAACCCTGTGTTGTTCTGTTGCAGATGAGACCACAGAGCGCCCCCTTCTGGAGAGTGTCTCTGTCCACGCTCTGTCGCCTGGTGTCTGAGGCCGACGAGGGGCGGAGCCAAGAGGTGGAGGAGGCGGAGCTGAGCCAGACAGGCCCCGCCCCCCTGAACGAGCAGCTGTACGGACTCCGAGTGCTGTGTCAGCGTCTGCAGGAGCGCGAGCAACAGGTGAAGAAGAGACGTGTATGCATCACAACGCCTCCGTGTCATCTCTCATGCTTGTACCTCTGTCTCAGTGCGGGTCGGCCAGCAGGGGGCAGGGGAGAGAGGGCTGGTGGTCTGTTATGTTTAAGGCAATATTTTTACATTGACTTTTACATTTCTGGATTGTGGTCACCGCGCTCCCTATGGACCAACGGCTGCTATATGTTTGTTATTATTGGTTGTACTTGCAAAAGCCAGATCCCGTCAAACCTCTGAAGCTGTGCAGTGCAGGATCTGGCTAATACTGTGATGGGAGACCTCTGAACACCAGGTGCCACAGTGAGGCGACCACAGCTGTAAAGTGCCGAAGTGTTGTCACATCCTTGGGCACTTCAACCACATTGCCTAGAATGAGTCTGGTGTGTGTGTGTGTGTGTGTGTGTGTGTGTGAATGGTTGGTGGTGGTTGGAGGGGCCGTTTCTTGTGTGCCCCATGGCAGTAGTTTATCACCACTGTATATGGAGTGAATGAATAATAAACAAGTAAGTACAGTAAGTAATCTTTATTTATACAGCCCCTTTCACAGACCAGAGTCACAAAGCGCTTCACAATTGAGAGCATTTGTCTCCCACTCCACACAGAGATAGGAGCGGGGTCGCCAGTACAGGAGGTGAATGCCAGACATATTGTACATGTTTTTAGTGGTAGGGGAAACTGGAGACCCTGTTCTGACTGGGATTCAAACCCAGGAACTTCTTGCTGAGAAGCGAGAGTGCTTATTATTATCACATTTTCATTTGATTTTCTGATCTGTTGTTGGTGAGTCCACAACTTAGTTCAGTCCTCCGTGATGACTGTTGTGGTGTAGGGCAATACACAAATAAATCACCAAAGCAGCTCCCTGTTCCACACCTCAGCCCGGCCTCAGAGCGTGTCCTGTAAGACTCCGAACAATGAGCCTCATTGTGACGCTTGTGTTTCCCAGCTGCAGCAGGACTCGTCGGAGCTGCTGGACCTCAACAACGTCCCGGCGAAGAGGAGGACTCCGTACATCTTAAAGAAACGGGCGTCCACCAGGTCCAAGCCCCGGCGACCGTACATCCTGAAGCGCAGCGCGGACTACTGAGACCGCCGCTCTGAAGAAGCTCTACTGTGTCTCTTTAAACATGATCTGGAGACGTGGATTAATGTACGAAGCCAAAAGTATATGGAAAAAAACATGAGCCCCATTCCCACTGAGAAAAATCATGACAATTTCCCCAAAGACCCCTTCCTCTTCCTCTCACAAAAAGGGACACAGGCTGGTGTGTGTCAAATTCACTCGGCATCCAACCCGCCCTGCAACCTATTTTTTTGCGAGGCGTGTTCAGAAATGTAGCAGTAATTTAGACCCAATAAAAGCAACATGTTTTATACGTCATTATTTCATGTGGCTCAGGGGAAGATGGCTCTAACACAACACAAAAGTCACACCAGAAAGTGAAGCTCTCACTGTCAGAGCTGCTCTCTCCTTTATAAATATGTTAGAAAGTCTCTGTATTAATCCACATGGATGAGAAACTAATTCTAAAGGCCGTTAGAAAGGTCTTATGTAGGAAGGGCAGCAGGAGGAGGGCCAGTTTAAGACAGAAGGAGCTGATATTAGCATGGATGGAGATAAACACAACTCCAGGTCTGTGACAGATGAGGAACAGATGGAGAGAATAGAAGAAAACCTAAAAAGATGTTTGCAGTATACGTCTCAAGATCATGTTTAAAGGGAATATTACGACTGTATAATGTGGTTGTTACGTTTTCAGATCGGTCCATTTTTGTAAATGATGCACAGATTAAAGCTAGGGTATGTAACTTTCAGAACACACCAACAAGAACACTGTAGACAATCCATGTCTTTAGTTTCTGGCTCAAACAGTGTTTCAGCTCAGAGAATGAAGAGAGACTAGAGAGAGACTAGAGAGAGACTGGACAGAGACCAGAGACAGACCAGAGACAGACCAGAGAGAGACCAGAGAGAAACCAGAGAGAGACCAGCGAGAGACAAGAGAGAGTAGAGAGAGACCAGAGAGAGACCAGCGAGAGACAAGAGAGAGTAGAGAGAGACCAGAGAGAGACCAGCGAGAGACAAGAGAGAGCAGAGAGACAGGAGAGAGACTAGAGAGAGACTACAGAGAGACCAGGAAAACCAGAGAGACCATAGCCAGCCAACCAGGTCTCAGCCCTCAGGAGTCAAATACTGACTGACAAGGGTCTTTCTCACACATGTTTTATCATAGGAATGAAGACAGCATATTGTGGTCTGATTTTTTCACAACACTTTACGATTAGACTCTTTCTGTTCTTACTGTGTTATTCATGAGACCAAAGTTACGTACCCCGGCTTTAACTCGGCTTTTGCTGCAGTCACTTTTTGCTGTTCTGTCTCCAAACTCTATCATGAAAAACTCTTGTCCTTTCCTTCTCTTTGCGACAGTTTTGAAATTATTAAAATATTCACCATTAAGAATTGTGTCTCTGTCATGCCTGTGACTACACAGATGGACCATGCTAACCCGCTAGTTCAATGAAGCCTAATATGAAAGTGCTCATGGACGAAGTTTGGCTTTAATCTCGCTCTGGCTCCTATTGACTTACATTTAAAAGTAAACTCCTCTAGCTCAGTAATCGTTCGTGTCAGACTCACCATTTTTGGGCTCAAAAAGAGAGACCAGAGAGACCAGACAGACTGACTAATGAGAGACCAGGAAGAGATCAGAGATAGAGACCAGAAAGAGAGACCGGAGAGACCAATGAGAGACATGAACATAAGACCAGAGAGAGAGAGAGAGCCCTGTAATTGTTTTTCAGTGTCAGTTTCTAACACTGAAATGAGACTAAGGGAAATGTCGTCCGGTCAATGCAAAGTGCAGGTTTGAGTTTGACCACTGCTGAGGGAGGGATCCATCTCTCTCGTCCTGGCTCTTTTTGTGGTTTTTCCGCCTAATTTCATCAAAAACAAATGTCCTTTACATCAATGCAAATGTGAGGAGTGAGGGGCAGAGAGACTGAGGAGACTGAGGACAGAGACATTTGGGACACCCTTCGGACCGCTCACAGGTAAATACACTTTTTCTTTCGTTCGGATCAAGTCATTCATTCAGTGTTCATTAGAATATCAAGAGTGAGGATCGATCTATGGCCTTCACACATGTTAGACCTTGTTGTATCACAATCCATGAGTCTGATATCTTTGACAAGTTCCCCAGTGTTTGTGGCTGGTCTGATATTAAAGGATACAGTTTTGTGTTTACATGTGGTGTTGAATTGTTTATTGACCTGAGAGAGATCAAACAGAGACCAGAGAGAGATAATAGGGAGGCCAGAGCGAGACAAGAGAGAGAGACCAGAGAGAGACCAGAGAGGAATTAGAGAGAGACCCGACATAGACCAGAGAGAGAGAGAGACCGGAGAGATATTAAAGAGAGAACAGACGTGTTGCTAAGGCAAGCTAAGGTTTCCCCTGGGAATGAAGGCATTTGATTTGTCAATCCTTACATGGCTCATATCTGGATTTACAAAAACAAAATCATGATTAAAACACCGGGATCACATAGAGCACTAAACCATGGATTTTAGCCGAAAATGGTCAGTGTGACACAAACAGTTACTGAGTTGAGTTTACTTTTGCATGTAAGTCAATAGGAGCCAGAGCGAGTTGGAGCAAAACTTCACCATGAGCACTTCCTAATAGGGCTTCTTTGAGCTAGCTAGCATTGCCCATTTGTATAGAGTCTATTGCTACCCCTCAAGGCACAACTTGTTATAAGTAAGAATAGTTCATTTGTTTGTCATTTTCTTTCCAGAATGGGTAATACCAGCACTTCGTCAACCTCTCCCTCATCTTCATCGTCGACCATCTCAAGCTTGAACTCGTCCCAGGCGTTCGGAGGCGTCTCGCTCTTTGACCTGCCGTGGCCCTTTGTCAGTGTCTCCCACATAATGCATCGCTGCAGCAGAGACCCCAGCGCCACGGGCCTGATCGCACTGAAAACCGTAGTTCTGGTCACCGCTCTGCTCGCCAACAGCGCCCTCCTGTGGCTGCTTTACAAATCAAGACGCAGCCTCACGCCGTCTCTGCTGCTAGCAATGCAAATCTGCATCGTCGACATGCTCTCCTGCCTCTCTCTGTGTTATGACCTGTGCTTGTCACTGACCACCACCTCAGAAACGGGGCATCAGGCTCTTGATTCGCTGCGGTCGTTGAAAATCTTTGCATGCCCACTATTTCTGACGCTCATGTGTGTGGAGCGCTTAGTAGCTGCAGTGTTCCCGGTTACGTACCTGCGTCTGGGCAAATGTAGTTACCGCCTGGCTGTGAGCGTGGCCGCCTGGCTCTCTGTCGCGCTCATGTCCGTGTTGGCGTACTTCTTCGAGAGCTTGCAGTTCGACTTGTTCATGGCTGCTATGATCGTGGTGTTCTTTCTGGTGATGCTCTGGTGCCTGGCCGGGATCGCCTGGGTGCTGTGCCGCGACAGACCAGGAGAGGGCGTCAGGAGCAACAGCCGCTCTGTAAAAAGCCGCATGCTTTGGAATATTGTCACCGTGCTTGTGCCGTCAGTCATGGCCTATGCGCCCCTGCTGGTGCTGGTGGGATATTTGGCTCTGATTGTTTCCAAAGGGACAGAGCTGCTCAGCACAGAGCAGTGCGGCGTCATCTACTCCCTTTTGGCGTGTCCCAACCTCGGCCTCTACATCGGCCCCCTGTTCTATCGCGCTCGAATCCAACAAGAGAGCTGCTGCAGGAGGAGAGAGCACCGCAGCTCAGAAACACAAGTGCAGTTGGGATTAGGAGGAGAGAGAGAAAAGAGAGACCAGAGAGAGAAGAGAAAGACCAGAGAGAGAGACCAGGGTGAAAGACTAGAGAGAGACCAGAGAGAAAGACTAGAGAAAGAAAACAGAGAGAGGGAGAGCACCGCAGTGTAGTGGGACAGGCCTTGTCCCCCGGCAGCCCAAGCCATGGCCAAAAGATCCACAAAGCCCCGACCCGGAGAGCTGACCAGAAAAGGGAGATACCCAGAGAACGGATCCCAAGGGCGGATCCAGAGAGCAGACCCGGAGGATACTTAAAGCCACCCTGTGTAATTTTTACAGCTGCTCCATATGAAAAAACATGTTAACTAATAACAAATGTGACCTTTTTAAGAATATTTACCTCCATCATGTTTTTTTAAATTGTATTCATAGGCTTAGAATTTAACTTATAAATGTCCATGTGAGAGGAGTGCTCTCCGTGTCAATGCGCCATCTTGAAAACCGGTGGTGGATAAGGACAAAAAGGATGCGAGAATTGCGTTTTCATTTCACATGAGCTACTGATATCGTTGCTTTCACCGTGCCTTCACAAGTTGGAAGGATGAACCATGGAAGACCACAGTTATATAAAATAACAATCCAAACAACAATCTTTTCAGTTGTAGCAGAAAACTGTCAACATCGCAAACCATATGCACTGAAAGGCAGAGATCAAACAACAGGAGGCACATTGTGTAGTTTGTACACAACAGACTCACACCTGAACAATACTTAACTTTTTCACACTAACAATAATGAGAACGAGGCAGACTCTACAACACAGTCAGGATGTTCTGACCCGATCCAAGCGCAGTCCAACTACTGTCACAAGTTTTAACTAAACTTATCAGGGAAAAAGCCTTAAATAAAATGCACACAGAATCCCCACAAAACAATCACCAGAATACTTTATCAGCAGCGTTAGTGAATGTTCTGTTTTCAGATAGGGCGCCGTGGCTAAAGCTAACATGAGCTTTTAGTCATGTCCTGGCGCGGCTCTGTTTATTTCCTGCTTCTTTGATCATCGTAGTTACATGTCTTTGACAGATGACATACTTACAACTAAACAAGGTTGTTTTAAGCGCCGTCACGTGGATCACAGTGTTTCTGACGTTTATGCTGTACTTTCAAAATGAGTCAGCGAACACCTTGTGTTTCTGATCATTATCAGAAACACCTTCTTTTCTTGGTTGGATTAGTCAGGGTGCTGTGCCAGAGCGGACAAGGAGAGGGAGCTAACAGCAGCAGATAATCGCAGAAAAAAGGTGCACTTGTGAATATTATAATAGTGATAGTTCCAACAGTCATTGTTCAGAGCCCCTTAGGTTTCACAAGGCTTGGCCCCCAGGGTTCAGAAGGCTCAGTTCTTTCAGAGTTCAGACACGGTTGGCCCCCACGGTTCATCACTTTGATCCGATGGGAGTAAGGAGGTTTAGAGTCGAACAATCGGAGGGGGCAGAAATTAGCAAAAAAAATGGAAGACATACAAAACAATTGATAGTCTCCCTCAATCGCCTCATTCACGAACGGTTCTTACGAACAAATTTTTGCGTAAATCCTACTTACGAGGATTTTACGAAGAATGTGGCATTCACGAATATTTCTCGTAAGCAGAATTTCTTTTGGGTAAGTACAAATCCTACGAGTGCTCAGGAGCACTCTTACGCACATTCAGTGCCGACATGTTCGCACGCTCGTGTTGTGAAGTTCAATAAAATACAACATTACAGTGATATGTTTGCCATATGGATGTATTTATTTATTTATTTCATTGTTTATGGTAAATTAGTCATTTTTTAAATTCATTTGTAAACTTAATGCGCCAACGCTTTATCAAATACATTGGAAATCATGCTGTTAGTGACCCCATCCTATTGATAGGGGACATTTATCCATCCACGGGTCACAAAACAATGGAATATATACTGCTGCAGCAGGAGGACCGCGCTGGTCTCTCCATATGGTCTCTCCAGTCGCTGCGGTCTCTCTTTGGTCCGCGCTGGTCTCATGCTGGTCTCATGCTGGTCTCATGCTGGTCTCATGCTGGTCTCATGCGGTCCGCGCTGGTCTCAGTCTATGCGGTCTCTCTTCGGTCCGCGCTGGTCTCAGTCTCTGCGGTCTCTCTTCGGTCCGCGCTGGTCTCAGTCTATGCAGTGTCTCCTCAGTCCGCTCTGGTTTCTGTGTGCTGGTCTCTCCAGTCTCTCCTCGGGTCTGCATTGGTCTCAGCGCTGGATCTCCTCTCAGGGTCCAAAATACTTTTAGATTAATCTCATAACATTTTGAGATTCAGTTTTAAATTAAAACATAATATATTTTTAAATTAATCTCATAACATTTTGAGATTAATCTCATCATTTTGCTAGTTCAACTTTATTCTCAAAATATTTCGACTTTTAAGTCAACATTTTATGACTTTATTCCTAGTCTGGCAAAAGAATAAAAAAGGGTGACTCTTTGCTTTAGGCCTGTTGCTGTTTCCTCTGGCGTCTGTACACGGCCCTGCAGTCCCTTTTATGGGCATTAATGGGCGGTTACCTATGCTAATGAAGCACCGGGCACGCGCGCTCTACTTACGAGGAGTTGGCATTCATCAATCTGAGAGAACAGCTGCAAACAATTCAGCGGCTTACGAGCGCGTTGATGAATCCACGTAGGGTCTTCTTAGAAATCTACTGAAGAACGACTTGAGAAGAAATTTAAGAAGTTTCTTACGAAGTTATTCATGAATGAGGCCCAATGTTTGAGCTCTGTCATTGCCAACAAAGGGTATAAAACCAATTATTGAGATTAACTTTTGTTATTGACCAAATACTTATTTTCCTCCAAAATTTGCAAATAAATTCATTAAAATGTACTGGATTTTTTTTTCACATTTTGTCTCTCAGAGTTGAGGTATACTGTACCTATGATGAAAATGACAAGCCTCCCACATCTTTTTAAGTGGGAGAACTTGCACAATTGGTGGCTGACTAAATACTTTTTTGCCCCAATGTATTTTATATTTTATACAATATTATATATTTTAATATAGTATGGAATGAGTTGATGAGTTGTATTGCGTAACAAATTGAATCGTGTATTTTCTGTCTGAAAAAGCTGAACTAAACAGAGGCCAAAAACACATGGGGAAAATTAGTGAAAGAACTGCTTAAGAACCAGAACAACCAGTGACATAGAGTTGCAAAGTTATTTATTGTGTTTCCAAAGTTACATCCCCAAGCTTTAAGTCCAGTAGACGAGTATGACGAGTGTTCTTATGTTCTTATCGGCTGATCAAGTGGCTTTCTGTTTCCTGTTGAAGACAATGGACCTCATTCACGAATAACTTCGTAAGAAACGACTCAACTTTCTTCTCAAGTTGTCCTTAAGTAGATTTCTAAGAAATCCCTACGTGGGATTCATCAACGCACTCGTAAGCCGCTGAATTGTTCGCAGCTGTTCTCTCAGATTGATGAATCCCATTTCCTCGTAAGTACAGCGCGCGTGCCAGGTGCTTCATTAGCATAGGTACTTAGCATAAGTAACCGCCCATTAATGCCCATATAAGGGGATGCAGGGCCGTGTGCAGACGGCTGAGGAAACAGCAACAGGCCTAAAGCAGGCCTTTTTTCTTCTTTTACCAGACTGAGAATAAAGTTATAAAATGTTGACTTAAAAGTCGAAATATTATGATAATAAAGTCGAACTAGCAAAATTATGAGATTAATCTAAGAATATGATAGCGATATGATATGATGATAGCGTAGCATTGAGACGGATCAGCGATCTAGTTTAGCGATAGTATAGCAAGAGTGATGGCGAAAAAGAATAGTTATAAGCAGTGTACACTGCTTCAGAGATTGACTCGCGGATCAGTGAGTGAGGTCGAGAGGGGGCCTCTCGCAGCGTATCAGCTGCTGCTGTTACTGATGCCTCAGATTCGTTCAGCAAACCTGATCATGATTTATCGGATGAGTGGTTGCAGTCTCAATCCAGCAGAGCATCCTCTCCAGAAGCTCCACAAAGAGTCGAAGGTAAGAACTTGCTAAATTGCCTAGAATATGCTAACTTGAGAGGAGGGAAAGGCGCGGAAACTTGCTCTGATCTGCAAAGTAACACAGCGCTCAAATCCTACTGTTTCTTTAGTAAATGCCAGTTATGCGTTTTATCATTGTTGTATTTATTATTTTTATGTTTAGTTATTTCATGCTTGAACATCTTGTTGTAGTGTCATAGCTCTGACTAAATGAAATGTGTTCTTCATTCACAGATTCTGATAAAAGAGCCCTCCCCCATTGGGGTTGACAGAGCAAGGAGCAGAGGTAAAGATAATTCCTCCTCATACCATTGTACATATTTTTGTATATATTCTCCTGGTATAGTGATTTACAAATGTATATTATTTACAGGTGGTGCATCAAGAGGCAGTTGCTGTGCACAAAAAAGGTAAAAGAACTACTATTTCTATTCTTGTACATCCCATGGCAATATAATATAATAATAATAATATAGTATACTGTGTTTGGTCCAAAAGTAGTCAGTCAATAATGTGGGAGGAAGGCCTTCATTGTATTTTATGTATTGATTTATTGTAACAAATTCACTGTATAATATAGTTATTGTGTGTATCCAATTTCCAGCACGTTCGTCACCCAGAAGCTCTGGGGAAGATGGCTGACAGGAGGATGAGTGGGAGCCGAGTCAGTCCCTTCACAGGAGCTCCTGGACCTCAGAGACTGCGGACAGAGGCTGCGAAGCTGGATTCATCTGATCCAGCTGACTTTCTGGAGCTGGATTCATCTGATCCAGACTTTCTGGAGCTGGATTCATCTGATCCAGACTTTCTGGAGCTCTTCTTCACGGAGGGAGAACTACAAATGTCACATCGTGTCGTGTTCCGTTGCACACAGTGTTTCAACCTCTACAACTCAAAGCTGAACTACTGGGAGGACTGAAAAAGCAGATAAACTCACTCATACACACACTCACTCACTCACTCACGCACACAGACACTCACTCGCACACTGACATTCACACACACAGACATTCACACACACAGACACTCACTCACACAGACACTCACTCGCACACTGACATTCACACATTCACATGCTTCATTCTATTTTATACATCTATAGTTTTATTGATCTTTGTGTTGTTGTTGTTTGACGTTTTGGTTGATGGAATAGAAGAAAGTTAAATTTTCTATCTGTGAATAAATTGCCA